ATTCTCTTTAACTAGAAGGACAAAACACTAAGCCCATGTTTTTTTTTTTTTTTTGAAGGTACTGGAGTTTGAACTCTGGGCCTACACTTTGAGCCCCTCCACTAGCTCTTTTTAGTGAAAGGTATTTTTTCGAGATATGGTCTCACAGAACTATTTGCCAGGGCTGGCTTCGAACCTCAATCCTCCTATCTCTGCCTCCTGAGTAGCTAGGACTACAGGCATGAGTCACCAGCGCATGGCTAAGCCAATGTTTCTTATACTGCTAGTGACAAGAACAATTTCCAGACTTCTTAAAAGACAGGGTTTTTCACAGAATTTGTTAAATTTCAAAATTATGCAAAATGACAAGCTGGTGAGAAATAGTCCTTACCCACATGAGATAACTCTGGGAAGGTTAATTGTCTTGGGCAATGAATGAAACATATGAGGTCACCAATATCCTAAATCAAGGCCTGGGAATCTGGTCAGGGTACAGTGCTGGCTTGGCATACTAGTGACCCTGGGCTCAAGAGGCACTGGATTCAATCCCCAGCACCTGTGTGGACAGAGTGTAATAAATCAAAATTGGACCCTTAAGCTCTACCTGCATGGCTCTGCATAGCTATAATCCCAGAGGTTAAGGCAAAAGGATATGAGAGTTCAAGAGCAGTCTGGGCTACATAAGGAGACCCTGATGTCAAAAAGATAAACAAAATGGGAAAATTATCTACCCCAGAAAATACATTAAGAGTTGTATACTTTATGTCCTAGGACATAAGAACTTTTTTCTCACTTTACACATCACACAGAAGGTCAAATATCACACCAATTACTAACTTTATACTATTTTAACAACAAAAGAATGGTGGTTTGTTGTTTTTCAGGGATGAATAGGAAGGTCAACAGCAGGAAGACATAGTTAACAGCCCCAACAAGCTCTGCTTCTTTCTTGGCAATACCTGATTCCAGAACAACAGACTGCAAAATGAACCTCTCAAGGCTAGATTTCTAGATGGGCTAAAGTCAGCCCACACAAGTTCTCTTTATACCTCAAAAAACTTTTTTTTTTTTTTTTGCTGAACTGGGATTTGAACTCAGGGCCTACACCTTGAACCACTCCACTAGCCCATTTTTGTGACAGGTTTTTTTTCAAGATAGGGTCTCAAGAACTATTTGCTTGGGCTAGCTTCAAATCGCAATCCTTCTGCTCTCTGCAGGACATGGTGGCACAGTCAAGTAACAAGCACTAAGGATGTGGAAGCAGGATAATTTAGAGTTCGAGTTCAGCCTGGGCTATATAGCGAGACCTTGTCTCAAAAAACAAAAACAAGCAAATAAAAAAAGGCTAAAAAAGATATTTACTTCTATGATAGAAAAATGCATCCATTTTACAAGAAGGCCATTAAAGGTCAGCTTCAGAAGCAGGATACTGATGGCTCATACCTGTAAATCAAGCTACTTGGGAGGCTGAGATCAGGAGGTTCAGAGAGGCCAGCCTGGGCAAATAGTTCTTGAAATCCCATCTTCAAAGATAACCAGAGCAAAATGGACTAGCGGTGAGGCTCAAGTGAAGAATGAAACCCCAAGTTCAAACCCCAGCCTCACAAAAAAAAAAAAAAAAAAAAAACTGGGTGCTGGTGGTTCACACCTGTAATCCTTACTACTTGGGAGACAAAGATTAGGAGGATTTCGGTTGAAGGCCGGCTGGGACAAATAGTCTGTGAGACCCTATCTCAAAAATATTCAACACAAAAAGAGGTTGACGGAATGGCTCAAGTGGCAGACCACCCGCCTAACGTGTGAGACCCTGAGTTCAAATTCCAGTACCACAAAAAAAAAAGTCAGCTTCAATTATGTATTGAAGTCTATTTTTTTCAGAATCCAAAAAATCAAAAGCAATCCTTTCTCCTTCAGTTTTTTTTTATTATTTTTTTTGATGCTGTGGATTGAACTGATGACCTTCTGCAAGCAAGGCAAGCATTCTATCACTGAACTACATCCAGCTCTCTTCATTCTTTTAACTCCAACAGGAGAAATCAACTTACTATTCTGTAAGGTCCCAATTTAAGTAGGCAAAGTTTTAAAAGGAAGAACCTAAAAATCAGCATTAAGGGTCAGGCCCAGAATCCCAGCTAGTCAGGAAGCAGAGATCTGGAGGATGGAGGTTCAAAGCCAGCCAGGGCAAATAGTTGGAGAGACCCTATCTCAAAAATAATGAGCAAAAATGGACTGGAGGTGTGACCTAAGCAATATAACACTTGAGTTCAAACCCCAATCCCACCAAAAAGCAAAACCAAAAAAAGGCAAGAGAACAAACCAGTCTAGCATAGGGGCAAAAGCAAGGATACTGACATCAGATGGACTTGTTTTTATTGTTCCCAATGAAAAGAGCAATGATGTGATAGTACTCATGAACATGCCACTTTCACACATTTATGTTCCTATACAACATCTTTAATCTAGGGATCTATATCCAGGTGATAGGTTTTTAACTGGAAAATAGTGAAAGGATGATTTAAAATGACAGGTTTGTATATTTTTCAGAATAATCCAAATGATCTTAATACTTTTAATTCTTAAAATCTAAACTCCTGTGGTCAACCCTTGTTCCTAACCAAACCCAGAGTGCAACAAAACGTCTGGGAACACAGGATACAGTGCCATCACTTTATGCTAAAAAAATCTCCAGGTGTTATCAAGTGAGAAAATTCGAGCACATGACTATGAACAGAACAGAGGAAAAGCTTACCACTCTCCAAGAATAAGAGATGTTCTTTTATGGACTAAAGAGTAAGTCATATGATAACATGACTTAGTAATTAGTTGGTTCTGCAGAAGATAAAACCCCAGCAACCTAAGTCAACTAATAGGCTTTCCGCTGGGGCTGTCTTTAGGCCAGAATGACCACTGAGGAACAAGCTCACTAACTAAATGAGTCCCTTCCCAGACATGAATCCTACTCATCATGTCCAAATCCTAAATGTAGTTAAAATTTCCCCATCTCCTCTTCTTTCAGTTCTCCAAATTTACGTTTCTTCACTTCACAATCTCACTTGCTCAGATGCTCAGCAATACAAACACTGTCATACTTAAGCACATACCAAACAGGATCCCAAGAAGCTACTCTCATGCCACAAAAGAGCCCAAATATTCCTGGCAGCTCTCTATACTGAGGGAATCTGCATCACTTGTATTAAACATGTACCCTGCTGGCAGATAACCGAGTTTGTTTCCCTATGACCTCTAGCTCAAGGGGAAAAAGAAAATCCAGCCAAGGAGACAGATACTCTGGAGGAGGGGATCAGACCAGTGAGTCAACTGCAGCTGACTACTATACTAGTTGACAAATTAAGTTTACCAAAGGGTGGAGGGGTGTCTAACCAAATGTCTCTCAAGCCACATGTTTGGCAGGATCCAAGCTTGCCCAGAAGGCCTCAGAAAATGAAACCAAATCTGATTAAAGTGGACATTTCAAAACAAGAGACGCAGAAGCGAACGCACAGCTGCCATTTCCCGGCCACTTCCTGCGGGAGGCTGGGGGAGGAGCTGTTTGTGTACAGATGGAGGTGGAAGCTATCCCCCCATCGCCCCCCGAAAATACAAATCCCTCACTCCAATAAGCCCATAAAAGAACGCCTGCTATTGGCATTGCATTCGCTAAAAATTGTTAACACCGGCGAAAAAAGGGATGATGTTATATCATCTTTTTTGCCACGGAAACAGGAATCCCCTTAGTGAAGGATTTCCTCGGAGAGGAATTCCTCTATTCTTCCCCTCAGCCCAGTTCAAACACCGACGCCTAGCACCAGCCCTATCAACCTCCATCCCTGGGGGGGGTTCTCCTGGGACCGGAGGGCCCCAAGCCAAGCGCAGCACCACCCTCAGCCAAGCCCTCACCTGTTCTCCTTGAGTGCTCCCCACGGGAAGACACCCCCAGACCCTGGAAACCCCTTCTCCCTCCACTCACCACTGCCAAAACGCCCCGTTCCCCGCAAGCCGATAGTTTACCCACCCAGGGAACCCCCGCCCCACCCCGCGACGCGGGCAATCCCCACCCCCACCGAGGAGGTGGCGCCCCTCCCGGGGATTCCACCCGAGTCCCCCCTGGAGTCATCTCCACCAGCCGGGAGGGGAGGCATTTGCGCCTCCTCCTGGGCGCCGCCGCCGGGAGCCTCCACAGCTTCCCCGGCACCCACCCCCACCATCCCCGCGGCAGAGACCCCCGCCGCGGGCAGCGTCCTAGGAGGAAACGCAGCTTCTTGCCTCAGGCGAGGCTCAATGCGACTCCGGAGGCTCTGTTCCCACAGGGAAGCCCTGGGTGAAAGCGGGGCTCCCTCCCCGCAGGCCCCCGGCCACAGACCCCACAAACCTGAGGAGGCGGCGTCCAGCCGGGCTCGGGGTGCGTCTCTCCCCTGGGAGCGGACGGTTCACATGGCCAAGCTTGGGGCGCCGGGAAGGGAGGAGACGCCCGTGGGGGGAAGGGGTCTGGGGTTCGGGGTTCGGGGTCCGGGAGGGGGGGAGGGGGACGCGGCTCAACCGCGGGGCCCGAGCGGAGCCAACATGGCCGGCGGGGGAGGAGTGAGTCGCGGCCGGAGGGGGCGGGGAAGCTGCGTCCGACAGAGAGCCGCCCTCCGCGGCCTCCGCCACTGGGCCCTAGCGCCCCGCGTCCTACCTTCCAGACCCGGATCAGGGTCCTAGCGCCGCTGAGTGCTACAACGCGGGCCCCCAGGGCAGCTCCCTCTGCACCCGCATCTCATTGCGGGCTGTAATCTTGCTTCACACAGGGCAAACTGATAGGCGAGCCATAGTCCCAAGGTTAACCTAAAAACTAGATAGACCACATTTCTAGGACTAAAGGCTTGTGCTGCTTTCTTGTGAGGGGACACCCGAAAGCTGTATTTCAGGGGCAGTTATACCTCCCCAGTTAGGGCAATGGAAAAGTGGAAGTGAAAAGGTTAGTTAGGACGAGATTTAGCCCTGGTTAAGAGGTAGAGAGAGACAGGAATCTGCCACCCACTTACCTCTGTCCTGTCGGGGCAGCCTGGTCCTGCCTGGATCACCACTTTCCTAGCGACATCTGCAGGGCCTTGGGCGTTGGAAAGATTCCTGTGTGTGGATACAGGAGACTCAGTTCTGGATGCACACAACCTGATTCTAGTCTAAATGGGGCCAGAGGAGAAGCCGAAAACTGACCAGAAAATAAGACGCCCCAAATGCCTACCTATTCTACATTTCCTATTCATTCCCATTATATTTTTTATTGTGAAATCTTCTGGGAACAGGAAATAAAATCTAGCAGAGAATTTAGAGTTTTGGCTGTCTCCTAAAATGTCTATGGCAGGGCCCCAGGATAGAGAACAGTGTCATATGTTTAGTTTATTGAATGTCAAGGTCAAATCGTGGATAAGGGTACCTGTGGTGGCTCACCTGTAAGCCTAGCTACTTAGGAGACTGAGATCAGGAAGACTTCGGTTCAAGGCCAACCCAGCAAAAAGTCCCTGAGACACCCCGCCCCCCCCCCAAATAACCAGAGCAAAAAGGACTTGGAGGTGTGGCTCAAGCAGTAAAGTGCCTGCTTTGCAAGCACCTGCTTTTCGAGGTCAAAGCCCTGAGTTCAAACCCTATCCCAGCAAAACAACAAAAAACAGTGAATAAAATACAACTACAAAGGAAACCAAGTTTCAAGGTTCTTTCCCTAACAAGGCAACACTTTGCAGGTTTCAAGATAATTCCCATTCAATTTTATGCAATGCATTTCTATAAACAATCACCTAAACTATACAAAGCTCAGGCTCAAGAGCAACAGACGCAAAGGGATGATGAAACACTCTTGGCAGGGGTGTGTGTGTGTGTGGGGGGGTGTCAACAAATACCTTCTCCTCTGGAGGTGCCAAGAGGAAAGAGATCCGAAAACTGGGTGTGCACAGGGCAAGGTGAGGCCAAATCTATCAATCTACTGTGGATATCCTCCACAGAGTAGTGTACGCTTTCTTAGTTTGGGGGACAAACTCCATTCACCACTACATCCTCAAGGACGATAAAACGAAAACTTGCTTTAACAAAGCCTTACAAAGTGTGCTGGCCAGTGGAGGCTAAAGGAGGTGTTTCTCTTCCTCTCCTGAGATAAGTAGATTACCATGGGGAGAACACAACCAAAAAAATCCTTCCCTCTTCCCTGTCAAGACAGATTTATAGGTTACCTGGGGGGCGGGAAATAAAGACACCTCGCCCCCCAGTGGCCAGCTAATCTCAGGTTTCTGAGTAAGAAGAGGCTACATTCATAGGAAAGGAATCCTCCTTTCTGGAGAAAACAGAGATCCAGCAAACTTCTGGTAAGGAATGCCTAGCCCCAAAATAAAAATAAGGTGGGTCGTTACTGACACCTGAAGGGCGGGAGGGAGAAGAGACAAGTGGGGAAGAGAGCTGGTATCCCTTTTTCTCTTCTTCCCTTTTCCAGGGCAGATAAGGGAGAATCTTCCTATACCCGCTCCAGCCGCAGCGCAAGCCAGTCAGACACCGGGCAGCGAGGGGAGGAGCCAGCGCCGGTCAGACGGGTGTGGCCACGCCCCTTCTCTCCACTACCAAACACCCACACACACCCACCGCTGGCTCCTCTCCGCTCCGGAAGAGCCGGTTACTCCTGTGCCCTACAGACTGTCCCCACCCCTTCCGAGCCCCAGGCCTAGTCTCCAGGACAACCTCTAGGACTATCCAGCCAGCAGTGGAAAAGTGTAGTATAAGAACGGACTACCTGGGATTAGAAAAGAAATGGGGCAGGATCCACTGTCCCCACCTGGTACAGAACGGCTACATTCGTTACTGAATGAGACCCCGCCTTATCTCGTCTAATCGAAGATGTCCCTTGCTCTCTGAAGAAGATGAGTCGTCGACTACCACTAACTCCCAACAGCAGCTGGGTGTTTACTTCCTGCCAGAGGCCATCCCAGCAGCCGTGGTTTCTCTCCCCATCCAGACGACAGAGGGCACACGGACCCCGTGTGTCCCCAAACACTCCTCAGTGCCATCAATCGTGGTTGACCATCCAACCACCTCCCTTTAGGAAGCTACTAGAAAGGGTAAGGGGCAAATGGTCACTTTGTCAAAACTCGTAAGAAGAATGTCTAGGGAATAGTTGGAACCTCCATCAAGAAGGGACAGAGAAATGAAAAGAACAGGGAGGAAGAAATTAGCACCTGCTCCCCCTTTCTCACCCTCCCGGTGTTCCTGCTGTACCTCCCAGGGTCTGGGGTCAGCTGCCACTGTGGCTTGCTCCACTTGGAAGCCAGATGGCTGGATGTGGGGGGAAGAAAAGGGGCGGGGGGCCTGGTGCGCATTTAAGCTCTACCCCCTCCTTCTGGTACTCAACCCCAAGCACTACTGACCTTCCTCCAGCGCCCTCCCAGCCCCCTGAGTGGTGACTCAGAAGAGTCAGGCAAATCCTCACACCCAGTCTCCTAATTCTGGAAGGGGGATGGGAAAGAAAACAGGAGGAGGAGCAGAGCTCGAAGCGCAGCTGGACCTGGGGAAGGGGTATCCCCACTGGAGGTAGGGCAATTAGAAAAGACCTCCCTCTCACTGGCTGAGTAGATATTGTCAATAGGGTCTCCCAGAGACAACTCCGTCACCCCTGTAACCAATTCTAACTGTCCCCTCCTCCTTTAGATTAGAGCAAGTCTTCTCACCCTGTGTTTTGGGGAGGCTGGATTCTCCACAATATGTCAAAAGGAATATAACCACTCTCTTCCCTCCAAGTTGGCCTGTGCCCCTTAGACGTAACAGTGTCGAGAGCCTAGGTGGCGGGCCTATGAGATAAAAACCCGTGTTTCTTTGAGGGGTGGGACTCTTTGCATCTGCAATAGAGAAGGCTGGCCTTCCCTCGCCTTACCCAGCACCCCAACTCCCTTAAGAGACTTAGCTCTAACCCATTCTCTCCCAACCAACAGCCGGTTAGAGCCAAGGCTCACAAGGTTCCCGCAGCGCTGCTGCCCCCAAGCTCCAGGACTCTGGGGGAGGGGCGTTCCTAGCCTGGAACAGCCAACCCCGGGCCCCAGAAAAGAAGGCCTTTCCCACGTAGACTCCGTGGGCGGCGCTGCGGCCCGACCCCAAACTCTGCGAGCCGTGAGGTGGGGAGAGGGCTACCAGAAGAGCCTTCGGTGGGGCTTAGCTAACTGAACCTGAGGGGCTAGGCGAAGCAAGGCCGGATAGTGTCTGCAGTCTATGACATCCCCCTCCCCCCGCCCTGACTGCGAGGAAGGGTTGTTGGGGTGGCGGTTATTCCCCTCCCATTGGGGTTAGGATGGCGTGGGAAAGCACTAGTTCCAGCGAGGAGGAGGAGGCGAAACCTAGACCGCGGGAGATTTTTCTGGCGAGGAAGGCGCGGGGGAGGGGAGATCCTGGGGCCAGAATGGGAGGGGTACCCGGGAGCGGATGGCGGAGAGGCGTGAGAAGCCTCTGGATTCCGGTCGCAGAGGACAGGGGAGAAATGGGCGAGTAGATAGTGCGGGGGAGAGAGGAAGGCCGAGCTCTCGCAGAGGGAGCGTCAAGTCCTGAACGCCCACAGCAGGGACAGCGAGAACCGCCAGCCCGGTGACTCCGGGCCGGAGGTGGGTGCCGGGCCTCACCTGGAGCAGGGGCGGGTGGCGGCGGCGGCGGCGCAGGTGGCCGAGCCGGGCGGCGGCGGCGCCTCCTCCCCCAGCCCTGGGCGGGCGGCGGTGGAGGAGGGAGGTGGCGCTTAAAGGGGCAGGAGCTACTGGGGTGAGGACGAGCGCTCGGGGAGGGCTGTCGCGGAGAATCCGCTGGGGGAGGGGAAAGCGGGTAGCGTCTTCTAGGGGCCAGAACCAGGAAGGATCCCAGATGGAGGAAGAGAACAGATCCCAGGAAGAAACAAACTTATGCAGCGAAGTGGGGGATGGTGGCAGGTCCAGAACTGGAGTACTTGGAAGAGATCTGCGTGAGCTCCAGAGCACCAGCAAAGACTTATTCACAAAGAAGGCCTGAGGGAGCAGGAGAGGGAACTCAAGGCCCGAGCATGCTGGAGGTCACGCACAGCGTCCTACTGGGCGAACAGTTTCCCGTGTTTCAGCTCCTCTAGGCCTCATCCATACAGCTGAGGAGCCTCTGGAACCAGGAAGCCACAAGGGAAAAACCCTCCTGTCCTCTCAACCTCAGTCTTGTCTCTCCATTCACTGTCCTCAGTGCCTGTGGCGTGGAGGCCATCCATAGCCCTAGTGAAGCTGATGTGGGACCATAAGAATTGACTTTATTCATAGTTTAGTTTTGCCCCCACCATCACCACACTTGCAGGAACCTCTGGGGCAACAGGAAGCAGCTGCTCAGTGCAGCCCCCACCAGGTGGTGGGTTAGGGTGGGGGAGGAGAGAAGACAGGGACTTAAAAGGCCTGAGAGAAATTAGGGGAAAGGGAGTACCTCCAACAAGACCAAAAGCGGACTAGCAATTAATATTGTAAACTATTACTTGAATCTCAGCAGCTTGAGTGAGGAGGAACGAGGGGCAATACTCCACGGGGGAGGAAGGGAAGCCCTGGCCTAAGGCAGTTTCACGAGCTTCCCAAGGCTAGGATCCCATGGTCGGCAGCTTACCAGCAAAGCCCTGTGTCCCCCCTCACCCCATGGTCCCATTTCCTCTCCTTCCCCCCAAAAAGAGCAAAGGTTAAGCCCCACCCCTGCTGAGTCAGCCAGGGAGGGAGTTAGGCATCCCTCAGGCCTTCCCCGGGGGCTGGCCCAGTACTCACCCATGTCAGGTTGGCAGGACTCCAGACTGGGACCCGGCTCCTCACAGTCCTTGGGCCCCCCTTCCAGTGAAGTCTGGTGTTAGATCCTCCCAAACTGGGAGCTGGGAACTAGCAAGAATCAAAAAGCCAAGGTATGCTTCCTGCGAACCACACAGCCTGAACTGCTGTAGGGTGATGTCCCTGTGTGACAGACTTGGGTAGGGAGGAGGAGGGAAGGGCGGGGCTTTCTCTGGGTGGAGAGAGGGAGGAGGCGAGGACAGGGCAGACCAGGAGAAATATGGAGGAAGATTAGAACTATGTTGACACTTCAGTAGCGTGGTAGAAGAGGGCGGTAAAGGGGGAAGGAAATAAACAGTTGCAGGTAGTGAAAGGGAAAAGGTTCTCGATAAATGCTGAAGGACGTGAAAGGAGGGAGATGGAAAATGACCTTTAGGATTTCGGTTCTCCGGTCTGTATCTCTGTGCTGGGAAAACAAAGCAGAAAGGGCTGACCCATATCCTGAGGCCTTCACCAGCTTACCCATCCCAGAGTCTGGGACCGGAGGAACCGCCCCCACCCCCATAACAGCATTTCCCCCAATCCAAGCTTTTCTGGGAGCAAACTACCAGGTACAAGCAGCGCAGGGGCTCCACCTTCTGTCCAGATCAAGACACCGGAGGGACTGGTGCCAAGGACGTCATAGGCAGATGAGAGGAAGCTTAGAGGCCCCTACTCCACCCCTGGCGCCTCTCCCAGGGCCCCTCCCCAACCTTCAGCTCCCAGGGGCCTCTGAATTGGGAGCTGAGCTTATCCCCGCCCAGGCTCTACCCAACTGAACGCTTCAGTGGGTGGAGCTTATAGATGCAGGCTCCTCCTCAGGACAAAAGCCCCAGCTGGTTTATAAACAGTCATTAGATGAGAAAATCAACTCCCAGCAAATAGCCTTTATGTATTTCAAAATGGTGAGCTCAGTGTTCTCGCAGTCTCCGGTGCTACCACGAGAGGGCACTAGGATGGGTATGGACCCACACATCCGGCACCAAATGACCTTGCATTCTGCACCTTATTGGGCAAAAGGGGAAATCATCTGCATGTAGTTCAAATGACCAAGAGCAATCCTGTAAATTGCTGTCTTCCTGTAATAGATTATTAAACCTCTCCCAAACTTTTAAGGGTATTTTAGCAACGCTCAGGCTATACCTCCTGGTCATTTTCTTACCCCTGCAGACTCAAGCAATCATAAACATGCAAGTCTAGGCTTGCTCAAAATGTCTGAAGGAAGTAGTTGGGAACTTTCTGAAGAAATGAAGGCCAAGGTCAGGCCTGACATTTCAAACCTGTAATCCCAGCACTTGAAGGCAGAGGGAAGATAGGGAGTTCTAGGCCATAGCAAATCCCTGTCTCAAACAAAAAAAAAAAAGCCAAGGCTTTTGAGGGCCCTCAATTGTAACAAAGATCAGTATTCAACTGTTTCCTAAAAAAATTGTTAATCCCTGACTTCTCCTGGACTGTTATTTCTAAAACCAACCCATTTTCCCCAATAGGGCTAAAATATCCCCTTTGCTTTTAACGAAGTATCAATGTGCTATGTGGAATATTTGAGGCAAAAAAATCAATTGGCACTGAACAAATGCCATAAAGGGGCCAAAGTTGAGGCCCTACTAAGATTTCATTGCCCTAAGGAACCTCTAAGAGACACAGTTCAACCCAAAAGAATGGCTGCTCTTTTTTAATGACCCCCCGTTTCAAACATACACAGCCTACTTTATACTAAAACTGCCATCTTGAGGCTACCCACTGTCAAAAACTTGTGTTGGCTATGTTGTTAGAACCAAGAAAAACAGACAAACTCTAAGGGGTGTACCATTTTATTGGAAATCTTAAATACTCTTTAAACAGAACATGTCTTCAATCAAGGCTCTTGTTTGGCCTACACAAAAACTGTAGCTTTTAGGACTGAAAGAAAGGAGAGGGACAGTACAGAGGAAGAGTGCTTATTTGGCAAGAGGACCCCTCATCCTGTATGCTCTTCAGCCAGCTTATCAGCTTTTGCCACAGCTTCTTCAATGGGTCCCACCATATAGAAGGCCTGCTCTGGAAGATGATCATATTCACCTATATGGAAAAGAAAAAAAAAAAAAAACAGTATAAACCAGTCAGATTATGATGAATTCATGTCATCTAAGAAACAAACTTCCCTTACAAGTCAAATTTAAGACATGATTAAAGACTGAGGGTGTGGCTTAAGTGGTAGAGTGCCTGTGTAACAAGTATGAGGCCCTCAATTCAAACCATCCTATCACCAAAAAAAAAAAAAAAAAGACATTAATAGTATGAATTAAAAACACATGACAGCCAGGAGCCGTTGGCTCATGCCTGTAATCTTAGCTACTCACGAAGCACAGCTCAGGAGGATCGAGGTTCAAAGCCAGCCTGGGCAAACAGTTCTGAGATCTCAAAAAACCCTTGACAAAAATAGGGCTGGTGGAGTGGCTCAAGGTGAAGACCCTGAGTTCAAACCCCAGTACCGGGGGGAAAAAAAAAAAACACAAAACACACATGACAAAGCCTTGCATTAAAAAATCCACTCCCACCAAAAAACAAACAAACAAAAAACCACACATGGTTTGGAACCACATAACCTGAGTTCAATTTCTTGTTCTCTACTTGACTGTATGATATTGGGATAGTTTATTTTCAACTTTTTCTGGGCTCCAATTTCTTTATGTGTAAAACAGGGTAATTATATTTTTTCTGTAAGGTTGAGATTCACTTAGAAGAGTAACTAGCATTGAAAAAGTACTCAACTATTTATAAAAGGAAGCTAGAAGTAACTCTCAAAAGTAAATGTAAAAGTCATACTCTCAAAAGTAAATGTAAAGAATTTTCAAATAAAATTGGTGGTAATTTTAATATTGAAAAAGGAAACTGCATGGCACATTATATATTACTTGATGGTTGTTGGAATAAGAACACACAGGATGCATTCAGAATCTTAGTTTTTCTATCATTGTGTTCAGCTTTGCACTAAAAACCTCACCTGCCAAAATCTGTTGGAATCCTTTGATGGTCTCCTTTAGGGGCACCAGCTTTCCCATATGACCTGTGAAGACCTCAGCAACCTGGAATGGCTGAGACAAGAAACGCTGTATTTTCCTTGCACGGGACACAGTCAATTTATCTTCCTCAGAAAGCTCATCCATACCCAGAATGGCAATGATGTCCTGGAGGGATTTGTAGTCCTATGAGAAAGCAAGATAAAAGCGGCCTAAGTAAGTACTCACAATCCTTTAATTTAGACATAACCTAAGAGTTAAAATAAGTGAATACAAAAAAAGCTACATGCCCTGGAGTCCAGGTTCTTTATTTCTGGTCAGGTACTGCTAAAAAAAAAAAAAAAAAAAACTGGATCCCAAACCCTAAAAATGTGGAAATCCAAATGACCTCATTAGCACTCACTCTCAACTTTCCTTGCTCCAAAGAAGCAAATGACACAAGTAACTAAAAGATCCAGTTTTAATATGCTCCCCAAATTCCTTATGACTAATTTTTAAGGCCACTGATCCCACAAAGCAAAATATTTACCTGCAGGATCTTTTGCACCCCTCGAGCAACATCATAATGCTCACTGCCAACAATGTTGGGATCCATGATACGAGAGGTGGAGTCCAGAGGATCCACAGCTGGATAGATGCCCAGCTCCGCAATAGCACGGGACAGCACAGTAGTAGCATCCAAATGGGCAAAGGTAGTGGCAGGGGCAGGGTCAGTCAAGTCATCAGCAGGTACATAGATAGCCTAAAGTGAGTTAAGAACCCATGAAAAGCAACAGAAACCAAAGTAATTCTAGTTAAGCCATCCCCTTTTTCGACCTCTCTCCATAGTTTTTTGTTGTTGTTTAAGATAGGATCTTGCTATGTAGAACAGTCTTGCCTGCAAAGTGTGAGGATTATAGGCATCCACCCCCACACCAGGCTTCACCCCATCATCTTTTTTCTTAAACCCTTTGTTTTTCTTGTCAATTCATATATTTAAACTGGTTTCCAGGATCTTCTCAAGTTGAGCAACTAGTTATGGGTTTTGTTTTTGTTTTAGTGGCACTGAGATTTGACCATAGGGCCCTATACTCAGAAGTTATACCCCTAGCACTCACTCCATCTTCTTAGCATTAACAGTCTACCTCAAAGGAGCTGCTTACTATCTCTAATACCTACAGAGTAAACTTAGGTTCTCTCCTCCTTCCTAAGCCTCAATGGAAGGATTTTGTCTTTTTTGTGTTTTTGATACAGAGATTCCCTATGTACTTCAGGGTGGCCTCAAAGCAGCAATCCTCCTGCCTTACCTTCCTTGGTGTTGGGATTACAGGCCTGCACCACCACACCCAGCTCATTGTCATTCTTTTTGTTCTTCATCCTACATTTTAACACCACTGTAATAAAACCAACTTTTAGAGCTAAAAACAAGACTGAGTTGGAGGGTGTGGCTCAAGAGATAAAGTGCCTGCTTTGCAAGCATGAAGCTCAAACCCCAGTCCCACCAAAAACCAAACAAACAAACAAGAAAGACCAAAGAAAGCCTTCCTGCATCACTTCAATATTTCAGTAAAATTAATTGAGGGCTGAGCATAGCTCCAATGACAAAAGCACATGCTTAACATGTGTAAGGCCCTAAATTCAATCCCCAACACCACAAAAAAAAAACTCTTGAAAGCAACAATTTAGCCACATTTAAGTAATTTTACTACATATACTATCTATACACATTTGAAATTTTGCACCATCTTAACACAGTAAATACTTATTAATCAGACTCCCATCAAGTTAAAAATCCACTACTTTGTGATCTACTTTACATATATACCTTCAATTACTTAAAATGTTTTTTGGCCTTTTAGAGTCTTTGACATGCAAACACAGAATTTTAAACATTATTCTATCTATTTAATTCCCATTTAAAAGCCCTTTTGATATGTAAGTAATGAGGTTTTATATCTCTCCACATGTCTATACAAATTAACCTTCATTCACTTAATTTTTCTTACCTGTACAGAAGTGATAGATCCCTTCTTGGTGGTGGTGATTCTTTCCTGCATAGTACCCATGTCAGTGGCTAGGGTAGGCTGGTAGCCTACAGCAGAAGGGATTCTGCCTAGTAAGGCAGACACCTACAAGAAAAAAAAAAAATAGAACAAACATCTTAGGTATATCTTTAGCTGT